CTACTATACATTACTATACACTACACTATACACTACACTACTATACACTACATTACTATACACTACACTATACACTACAGCAGTGTGTTGAGTAGTGTTGGTCCACACCTCCCGTTCCCTGGCGACAGACTCCAGCACTACTACGCTATACACTGCTACACTATAAACTACACTGCTATACACTACATTACTATACACTACACTATACACTACAGCAGTGTGTTGAGTAGTGGTGGTCCACACCTCCCTTTCCCTGGCGACAGACTCCAGCACTACTACGCTATACACTGCTACACTATAAACTACACTACTATGCACTATTCACGACTACACTACTCTAAACAGACTCTAGCTCTTCCTGGGGAATTTCAAGGCGTTCCCAGGCCAGCCGAGCGACATCGTCCCGCCAGCGTGTCCTATCGACGTGTTGTTGTTATTATTTTGTATTCCTGTTGTTAGCACAATTATTGCTTTCGCTACGAAGCTGTATGCAAACACTGCCTACGCACGTTCCTTGCCTTTGTGGGCATTCAAGCGGTAGCTGGATATAATTCGATGCTTCGAAGAATGCAAAGAACGCGCCACCCCGGTTGCAATTACCGTACGCGCAGAGCGCACGGTATTTTAACGCGCAGGATATTTGCACACTCGATGCAGGCGTGCCTCGTAAATGCACGCTAATTTGACGCTAAATGTTCGCCTGGGTGGACCAGTGGCGCAGTGGTTCGCGTCCTGCAACGTGACCCCGGTAAAAAATAAAAAAATTAATCTGCGGGAGGCGATGCCAATTGGTACCACTTTGTCAGGAAGTGAGCAGTGGATTATTTTCGGGTGGATAGCCTCGCTCCTATCACAGGAATGTGGAATTTCCCCCAACTGGCGCAGGGCTCCAGACAGGAGATAAACACCGCCTCAATGGTCATTCGAGATGCAGGAAATCATTTCTGAGTGCGAGACAAGCATTGGCAAGGGAGAATTCCACCACCATGTTATTCTCGCCATGTAACGTAAGCGCAAGTGTTAGAGCGGTGGCGCAGTGGTTAGCGCATCGCGCTGGGAACCCTTCGGTCCGAGTTCGATTCCCGCTCATGGATAACTTAAGTGGCGAGTGATTTCTGAAGCTCTCCTCAATTTTGGCCCTCCCACCCGCTCTCCCTTCATCACCAACCCGCATCGACCCGCGTGGTGAAGTATGGTCAAACAACCTGCATGATGGACATGGCGACGAGAGACGTCCATCCAACAGTGGAGTGATAATGAACTGTAAATAATATTGTTGTTTACCGTAATGTTGTTATTTACAGTAATATTGTTATCGCAACATGAATTACACACTATATAAATACTCACTGAAGAGTACGTATTGTATATGTATTTAAAGCTCTATAATGTGCCGATATGTTTATAGTGTATATATAAAGCACGACTTAAACCTTTCGTGACTGCAGGAATTCATATTCTTTGGGTCTTTCGGTAAAGTTACGTAGATAGAACATTTACATAATATATATTAAATATATTAAATACAACAACCGTACTCACAATTTTCAGCCTATTTTGTCATTAAAAGCACCCTCGTTATTATTCTAACATATCAATTAACATCGCAGTTATATAATTATTGAATACACTTCTGGATGAAGGCCCTATCGGTCACGAGGGTTGTTGGACCATACTTCACCACGCTGGTCAGCGCCGGTTAGTGAAAGTGCGGCTCAGGACGGGGTCAAGATCTCTCCTTCCCTCGCCACTGACGTCTCTCTCGCCACTGACTGGGCCAATGAATCGCTGGGCTCATAGCGCAGTGCACTAACCACTGCACCACCGCTCCCCCCCCCCCCCATGTACTCTTGTGTTATAACTACGATTGTATTATTCAAGTACCGAGTTTCAAATAATGATAATAATTTATGGTTACGTGGCTATTTTCGTTCTGTAGTTTATTCCGTTGGGAGACTATGGTCAATGTGTCCTGCCCTACCGGGCCCGTCCAACAATGTAAACATCAAGGAGTGATTTATCTGATTATTCGTTCAAAGAATAGGCTACTGTACAATTCTAAGTTTTCTAAATGTAAATAAATGAAGATTTATATTGTTTAACAAACACAAAAACATTCACTGTTATTTTAATTACTTGGAGGATCGGATGTCGGTATTATTTCACCTCTCGGTGGCCGCGTGGAGCATCAACATCGCAGGATCGTAGAGATGACGGCTTTGGGAGTGAGAATCAGGATCGTTTTCTTATCCCGGAGGACATCCGATGAGCCATGAAGCTCTTTTTGTTCCACAGATGTTTAGTAGTTTCACAGATGGGTCTTTCATCCAGCTGTGGATTTGATCTGTCGTGGCTGCTGCTGCTGATATAGATTTTAAAATATTATGCATGTATGTATGTTATTTCGCACCGTAGTAGCCAACCATATATAGTATACAAGTCTGTATACTGTATATATGTGTATTCAATTATATAGATATATATTTCAGTGCATATATTAAAACAGAAAAAAAACATGTTCAAATTGAGTTGATGGAAGTAAACCACAGACAATTCTATCTGAACCTGGCCTGGTCCTCCGCTATGTAGATTCAGCCTAAAAACTACTTTCCAGGCGCTAAATATCACAGTGGATTAAATACGTGCACCTAGACTTCTGGTATACTGTATAGACAGTATATATGTATATACTGTAGATATGATATAGACTGTATAGACTGTATATATGTGTGTGTTTGACAACAGAGCGATGTCGGCATTTGCTGCTCTGTCTTAGGCCTAATTGCAACGGAAGCTGTCCGGGGCTGAGGTCCAGAAATTATTTAGGGGCAGTGGGAGAGGGAGTTAACGGAAGGTGAATGGGCTACCCTGTAGTATTGGAGGTCCCCGAGTATATTTTATGAGAAATGAAGCCCTGTGTGTACACACATATGTATATACAACGTGGGGCTGCGTGCTGTGTGCATACTGTCGACGTACATGCAATAATACATGAATCGCAATGTTATTTATAGATGGCCGGGTGCCCAGGGAGATGGGCGTTGTATCCAGGGACGTCCATAGTTGGAGGCGGGGGAGGGAGGAATGAGGGATTTATCCCGGGCTCACAAAGAAGAGGGCCCAATAATGCTCTATTTTATATATATAAAAAAACATCGTATTTCTCTTACACGTATTGGCTGTGATTTTTTACATCTATTTCTCTTTTGTGTCATGGGCACGTTTCGCGCTCAATTCCATCATCACGCCGCGACCGATAAAATAATATACCATTTTGCGGAACAGGTAGCTGTGATTGTCCTATGGGTTAACTGACCGCCCCCCGCACCATACCACATGAGGAATGTGGTATTTCCACCACGATCCCAATGATGTGAACAGAAGATCACCACAAGCCCCATACTAACCGGCAAATAACGTTAACGTTATAAATGACGTTATAAATTACGTTATAAATAACGTTAACGTTATAAATTGCGTTCGCACACCGAGATATCCTGTACCCCCGGGACCCGCTTTTTTTGCGAATGAGACTTTCATCCCAAATGGGCTCTCTATCGCACGCTTGGAAACAAAGTCCACGATGGGAACGAATTGTCGAGCAGAAGAACCTCGACCGAGTCTCGAGACTCCCCCATCTCGAGGGTGTCCCGCTACGCGCTGCGATTGGCTCCCTGGTGGCCTCGGAGAAAAGCCACGGGGGGATGGACAACCCCACGTGTCCGCACACGCCGCGGTTCGTGAGCCCACATACACGCGGTTCATTAACGCCCGCGTGACAGACGTGCAGCGGTAGCATGCCCCCGTGTACCCTGGGTGTGTTTTTGTTGTTGTCATGAAACATTGAAAATCAACGCCGTAAATCTTAATCGTGGACACGGTCGCAGATATATGTACAGTACAGACGTGCACTATATATGAATGGCCTTTTCTGCCGATTAGAAAAAGGACCATTGCTCGAAACGTTAGTCCATTTATATTTTTTTGGCGTAAGCTTTCATGGTGATATCGTTTTTTATATTATAGCTACATGATTGTTTTATATATTTGTATGTATTTGGACTATTGTAAATTTGGATAGGCTGTCATTCACAAAGCAGTCCATTGAATTATCCTTTGAATGGCAACATTGACAACGTGTAAACAGATGTATGCATGCCTGTGCATGTATGAATCTACATGTTCGTATGTATGCTTGCAATTCAGATACAGTACGTACGCAAGATGTATGCATGTAGATATTGGATGTATATATATACATGGATATATGTGTGGCTTGTATATGATTGCAGCACAATGAGAATATATAAGGTCCTGTAAGACACTGTGCGTGTTGTATACGTGTGTGTTTGTAATTGCACACGTGGGGAGCGGTAGTGTAGTGGTTAGCGCGCTGCTCTACGAACCCGGCGACCCGAGTTCCATTCCCGCTCACGGGCCAACACCGGCAACGATTATCCGAACAAGTTCTGGGCATCCCCTAGGTTGACTCGGCCTTAAAGAAGTAACCGGTCCGGTTCGTGAATGAAGAACATCAGCACTGACTAAGTCGGTCGGGCGTGGTGCTGGCCACCCACCCACCCGATCGTGCGCCGTGTTGCCCATGACAAGCGCTCGATAACAACAGTCGGTTAAGGCTACGTGGGGCATCTTTGTCGGTCTAAGACAGTGGTCGACAATCTTCGGCTCCGGAGCTGCATGCGGGTCTACGAGGGCTGCTTTGTTACGTTTTTTAATTATTATTGATTGTTTTTGACCAAATTCGAACAAATGAATGTTGAACTTCTTTCGCACCGCAGTGTGCCGCCAACCGTGCTAAATTTGGGTTGCCGACCCTTGCCCTAAGACGATGCCTCCCCCGCAACCCCCCCTCCCCCCGAACTGATAACGCAATGGATGCATGATTTTAACGCCGCTTGTAACTACCCACCCACCTACCCACCCATCTACCCATCCATCCACCCACCCACCTACCCACCTACCCACCCACCTACACGCAGGCGCATGTCCAAGCAAGAGGGTGAGATCGAACTGACCGAGGATGGGCGGCCCGTGCAGGTTAAGCCGCCCAAGGAGCCCCTCTGCGAGTGTCGCTGTTTCGGAATGCCCAAGCGTTACGTCATCGCCGTGATGAGCGGCCTGGGCTTCTGCATCTCCTTTGGGATCCGTTGCAACCTCGGCGTGGCCGTGGTGGACATGGTCAACAACAGCTCGTATCACTCGGGAGATAAGCTCATCGTGCAGGTTCGTTGGCGAGCGCTCGGCGCTGTTATACCGATTTGTTTTTTTTTATTTTCGGGTTATTACCGCCGTGCTGTTTTTGGTCGGAATGATGTCCAACATTCGAGGTTGGAGGTTCTTTAAAAAAACTGATATTGAGCGTGGGGCTCCTTCGGGAACTTAACATTCTTCTTCAGGATATCCAGGATGCAATTGTCTATCCATCTCCCAGACCCAAGCACATTTGCTTAGCTTTCGATATCTGACGATATCTGACGCATTCAGTGTCCATTGCCACCTCCTGAAAAGGTTCCCTCGTTTCACCCGCACCTCCGATTAGCACGGTTTGCTACTTACGGTGCGAAATAAGTTCCGACACACACACACGCCTTTACGATGAGCAATTCACCACGCAGGCGTCAATGCGACATATCTACAGACAGAGTTGCAGTTGTACGTGTTTGTAATCCGGCGATATACTTTACAAGAGAATTACCACTCTAACACCACCATTATTAGCAGTGGCACGTACGGCACCACACGCCGCGCGTATAAGGTAGACGATGTCAGTGAAATCCCACGGCCCTAATCCCCCAAGAGCCCAGATGCCCCCTTTCCTTGGCTCCATCACCCCCCCCCCCCACCGCTTAGGACGAGACAACACCCACACCCGCCCCAGCCGTCTATCATTCTCCCCAGACCTCACGTCAGCGCAACCTATTTATAATTCATAAACGAACTGCTATTTTTACTTAGTTTCGTTAATGTGTTATTTTGAGAAACTTGCACATTGAGAGCTCTTTGGGGGTATCGTTATTTTCTTTGGTTAACGCAGAGGACAGTGCGGCAAAATCTGTTATTGTCAGTACCTCCCCGCCATGCTGGGACGTCGATGCTCCCCGCGTTCATCAACGAGCATGGACTAGCGCGGTGAAGTATGGCTAAACAAACCCCCACTACCCTCGTGGGCGTGGCGAGACACTCATCCAGCAGTGGATTGACAGAATGACTCTTTGCGAGTGCCTATACTTCACAAAACCCCTCTCGCGGACCCCCTGACCCAGCCCACATCCACCTCCTCCGGCCCCCACACAGGCAATATTTAATATTGTTATTATTAAATAGGTCAAGTGATACTTGTACGTTGATTGGATAAGCGAGGCTATCGTTGCAATGGAAAAATGACTCACGCATGCGTTGTCTGGCCTATTGCGCGATGGATCAGCGGCTAACACACACCTTGACGTTACGAACCTGGAGATGAGAATTCGATGATTGGCCACGGCTACCATCAGTGGCGAGCGATTACCCCACGATCACCAAGGTGGCGAAGTATGGTCAAACAACGCCCATGACCCGCAGGGTGTTTGGGGGTCGACCTTCATCCAGACATGGATTGACGATTGACTGAAAATGATGCTTGTATGCAGTTGATATATATACTGCATAGACTGTTCCTTTCTGCGCATGGTCGTGTGGTGACCTTGACCAGGGTTGTAATCATAAAAAAAAACATTAATTTACAATTACGCATGACAACAAGCGGTGTGGAATCTCGGAATTTAATCAAACGTAAAATAATATTGGATGCATTGTTAATGTTTATACCGGAGTCGGTTGTTCACGTGTCCGTGTGTTTAGAATATTATACTTTTACAAATAATAAAAAATGTGTGTGTGTGTATACAGGATGTAAAATGTTTAATTATAAATGAATAATTAGCTTCACTATGTATATGCGTGGATACACTACTGGCAATTATTATTCTATGTTTAAATGCAAATGAATTGACTCTCTCCATTACATGCAATCCTAACGGATTTGGCAAATCTATTCATGATGGTTGTTTCATTTTCTGTTAATGATTTTTATACTAAACTCACTATATTTAAAACTGTGACATACGTAACATTACCTGGCATTCACGATGTTCGAAACGCGTTTAGAGAGACACACACACATTTACAAAAAAACAAAGACAAAGATCCCCCGTATAGCCTTAGCAGACTGTAGGGGCAAGTGCTATTGGCGAGCACCTATGAAGGCCGGAACGGTACACGAGGGGGTAAAGGTGGCCAGGACCACGCCCGACCGCCTTTGTCTCTTCAGTGGCGATGTTTACACATCGCACCAGGTACTCATTTGCGGCTGAGTCGACCTAGGGGAGGCCTAGGCCCGGTTCAGATAATCGTCACTGATGTTGGCCGTGAGCGGGAATCGAACCCGGGTCGCCGGATTCATAGAGCAGTGCGCTAACCGCTACACTATCGTTTAGAGAGAGACAGACACACACACACACCCACATATATAAACACACACATATAAACACGAACACACTCTGCATGTGTGATGACAAAAGCGAAATTTAGGTTTATATACGTATACACATACGGGCCAAACGCTGATGTGTGAATTGCGTCTGCAGAAAGCGGAATTCAACTGGGACTCTGGTACTGTGGGGATGATCCACGGATCGTTCTTCTGGGGCTACATCGTTACGCAAATCCCAGGAGGGTTCATCTCCAACAAATTCGCTGCCAATCGGTAGGTGGCTTCGACACCGCTCGCTCGCTCCCTCGTCGTGGCCGTTGAGAATTGTACTGTGAAGACGTTTTGCCTGCATCGTCAACTCTCGGTTATTTTCATTTAAACATAAAAGTTTTGCTGGCTGGCTGAAAGGAGGGAGGGAGGGAGGGCGAAGGCGGGGAGGGAGAAAGGAGGGGAGGAGGCAGGGTGATAGGGGACGAGCGGACCGTCACGTACAAAGGACGTGGGGGGCTGCTGCTATATTTGACAATGAATGAATAAACATCCCATTTGCGTAGGTTTTTTGTTTCGTTTAGTCGTGCTCTTTCGTTCTCTGATGTGTTTTTTTCGGATCGTTACCGCGCTTGTTGTTCGGCGCGATGCCCCATGTGCTCGCTCCCATACGTGCTGGGAGCATGTACGCTTCTTCAGGGACTGAATGCTCCTAGCACGCGGGAACGAAACGTCGGACATCATCAACAACAACAACCCAATAACACAATATAATATTTCCTTCACGTGCGCTGGTTTATTGCATTAGCTGTTCGTGCTCACTCACCATAGGTCAAAGACTCAGTACCCACGTGGGGGTGAACACGTGGGCAAGGAATCCGATCCCTCTTAAGAAGCAAGCGAAACAGACGACAACATTCTACGTCTTGACCCACTCTGTGCATCCTCCCTCATTACCCCGGACAATCTGGCCTCTCTTTATGCTTTTCAAAATGGGTAATTGCCCGAAACGTCGCCTATTACACATTTGTTCTGTTAAGGCCACACGAATGTGTTGAGTTGTTTTTATTATTGGTGCTTGTGCACAAATTCCAATGCAGAATCATCATCAAATAATGTGTCCATTTATTCGAAAGATATTGCAATCAAATCGCGTTGGGGGTTTTCTTTGTATCTTACAATTTCCTGGCGTGTAATCGGTTCTTCTTCGTTTGATCATCGACCGTTTGTTAATGAAGTTGTTAAAATCCACAAATGGTCGAGCTCGCCGCAAATGCTCGCCAAAATCGTTGGGCGCAGCAAATGGTGGAATGAACGCTCCCACGCGCCTGCTGTAGTACTTATTAGTATTATTAAAGATGCGTCTGTGCGAAAATTTCACGACGCAAAATGTTCTATCCATGGTAATTGTGCGGCGCCAAGAATAATCCACTCTCGAACGCCTACGTCACTGTCACAGCTATACAATCACGATCTGGTTAGCGGAGTCGCGATGGATTATGACCATTTTACGAAATTTTAATCACGGGAACTTCTCATTATCACAATTGCAGTGTGACGTCATGTCTTGATTCGAGAAGCAATGACACATCGATTCACACATTAACATCGATTCATTATTAAAGGCTCTCCATGCACGGTTCGACTCGATCTCTTTCAATGCATGCAATGCAACGCTAACGGTCACCCATCCAAGCATTGAGCAGGCTCGAAAATCTGCTTAGCTTCGGGGATCTGACGAGATGAGATCGGCCGCGTTCAGGGTGATTTGATCGTAATCCGTGACGAACAGATTGCACTGTAGGATTGCATTGACCCTAAAATAGCAAAGTTCGAGTCCCGATCAAGGCTACTGAAAGCCTCCGCACAGCCGTTATCTAACCACCCAGCAGCAATACGATGCACCCCCCCCCCGCTCCCTCTGTGGACTCAACCTGAAATTACTACCAGGTGCCGTGGTGTAGTCACCATCAGCGTGCCGACGAGACAAAGGCGGCCAGGCGTTGCCTAAGCGCTCGCCATGCCGCCTGACCCAAATCGGTGCTCGCTAACATTGTTTAACCCGGGGCTGAATTTCTGAAAGAATATTCCAATATTGTCTGGATCCGCCAAAAGCCGATGTAGCCCACCTTGCCCACCTTCCTCTTTAAGGGCGTAGAGGGAGATGATGAAATATTTTCCGGAGCTCAGCCCCGGAGAGCTCCGGTTGAAATGAAGTTCTTGTCTGAACTCGTGTCTGTGTATAAGGCTGCCGCCGCTGCTGCTGCTGCTGAACGTGGTGTGATCTGTCTATTGTGTGCGGTTGCCTGTGTGTGTGTGTGTGCGACGGACGCAGAGTATTTGGCCTTGCCATCGTCCTAACGTCCACACTGAACATGTTCATCCCGACAGCGGCGCGGGTGCACTATGGCCTCGTTATCTTCGTGCGTATCTTGCAGGGACTCGTCGAGGTAAGTGCACGGAGCGGTGGCGCTGCTCTATATGAATCCCGGCCGCGCAGGAGTTCCATTCACGCCCACGGCCAGCGTCTTCGATGGATATCTTAACCGGTTTCTTGCCCTCCCCTCGGCCGACTCGACCTTTGATGAGGACCTGGGTGGGGCGTGTAAACTTTAGCACTGGGGAGACAAAGACGGCCAGGAGTGGCTCTGACCACACCACCTCCTCGTGCGCCATGCTGGACTTTACAGGAGCTCGCTAACGGCACTTGAAGGTTACACAGGGGATACAGTATTTGTCTTTGCCTTACGGCTAAAGCAGGGGTGGGGAACCTTTTTTCTCCCAAAGGCCATTTGGATATTTATAACATCATTCGCGGGCCATACAAAATTATCAACTTAAAAATTAGCCTGTTATATTTGGTCAAACATTTAATTAAATTATCCCTAATGTGATGACTGGAACTGATTCTCTTTGGCGAGGCGTGTGATGTTGTTAGCTGGTATTGATGATGTTGCTACTTGCAACTGCTTTTCCAGGTTTTGCTCTCCTAGATTTATTGAATTTCGAGTCCCGCCTGCGGTTGCCTTGGCAGGGCCAGACCAAATGATTTCGCGGGCCTCATACGGCCCGCGGGCCGGACGTTCCCCACCCCTGGACTAAAGGGATACTGCGCTGTTGGCTATGTGTGTGTACCCCGTGTGTAACGTGTTTACCAATCATCAAGCGCGTGAAGTGTGCACCAACCCTAATTTAGCATTTTAACGGAGGGGGTTTTGCAAACGGGCGGCCGAGTACGGTACTGGAGTTTGTGAAGCTTGCCCACGATGTGTCAGGTGCCGCGCCCGAAGATCGAATCGACCACTGTCCAGTATCGCTTACCGTCACGCACCACGCCAGCCAGCGTCCACGATAGATGTAAACTCGCCGTATCGATACACGCGCGTGCGTACCCAGCAACGTTAATGAGCTGTGTAGGGGAACAGACGCATTTTAATGCACGGCGTGCGTGGCAATGTTTACCGCGAGTTGGGGTTCAGGGTAGAGAAGATAACATTGGGTGAGAATCACGGGGAAGTTGGAGGTGTGAGTTGCCGAAATTGGAGGTTCATTTGTCATTCTCAGACGCTGTCTTCTTAGAGAAGGGACACGATAATATGGTCCTATGGACCCGGCAAAACATGAGTTTGGTTCCCATTGACGCTTAACATTGAGTGGGGAGCGATAAGTGAACAGGCCCTGGGTCCCACATCCACCTTACCCTCCTTTCCCCCCACACACTAATGACTAAATCAACATGCACTGACCTGCGTGGTGAAGTATGGTCAAAATAGCCCATGAGCAACATGTAATAGGAAAGCATTGGTCCACCAGTAAAGCGACAAAGGGCTGAACTTTACACTGCAATATTCATACCGTACAAGCATCACACCCAAGAGTGTGTGCTCACATTTATCTTGACACCTGCGCAACATTATTTTTATATATAACAAAAATGTTAATTACATAGCCTTTAAAACTGTGGGATGTGAGCCTTTGTGGCATTTAAACAGCTGCTGCCAAATATTAACAATTTTGATTAAAATGGTCAGCCATTCTTGGCTCGCTTGGCTTGTTGCACGGAGCCCATGTAAGCGGATGGACCACTCAATTCTCCCTGAGAATCACCACGCTGAATTATTAAGGTTTGACCTGTCCTTTACAAAAGTTGCCGCTTAGAGAGAGAGGGTCCTCTTGGCGTACGGTTAATATAGATTGCATTTGCGTGTACACCACACGAGGGATGCTGTCGAGATGTAATGAGTGGCACGCTGGACTTGCAATCCGTGTTCATCGGTGCGATTCAATCTCCCGGAGGTGGCGATTGAAACAATCGGCAATAACTCATCAATCCGGCAATTTAAATGGGTGGACCACAGTTAGTTGATTGGCATGTCACGTGTGTGTGTGTGTGATGGCGTCAAGTGTGGGTACTCCCACCTCTTTCAAAACGTCTGGCCAGCGTGGAAGAGTAGGCCAAGCACCCTCTCTAGAGCTCCTTTTAGTGAAGGTCCTTTCATCAGCAACGGGGGGGGGGGGGGGGGGGGGGGGGTGCGAGTAAGCAATTACAGGGCTGTGCTTTTACTCCCTCAGGTTGAGTTCAATTCCATTGCGAGAATCTCGTAGCGAGCGCTGCAGACTCACCCACGTGTCCGTGCAGGCTTGGCTGCTGATGGAAGAAGAAAGCAAAGGGTCACTGGGCTGGTCTATGGATCTTGCAATGCAATTGCACGAATTGTATAATTTTTTCTTATTTTTTTTGGCCACGTGGCAAGGGCATATTGTGGTCAAATCGATGAGTAGAGAGGAGAGGCTGCATCAATGCTCCACTCTCCCACCTCACTGGGGTGTGCAATATCTCGAAACATCGAATGTCTATGTACAGTGAGTGTAATTGTTCTCTTTTCAACACGTAGGCTTTCGCGACCAATTTTATTCAGAATAACAGTTATTTTGGAGTTACTACACAACACACCGGTGTGCTGAAGTAGTAACTAATTGGCACGTTTTTGTTCACGTGACAAACCTTAGTGATTGGCTGTATCGGGTGATGGTGGGTTAACGACACAAATATATATACGCGATCTAACCCAAAATATATATTTTTTACGACTAATGTCCCTTCGTATGTTTTGTGATGACTTTTTTTTGGCTGCCCGTGCACGTTGAGGAGCGCCGTGCGGTGCCGTGTGCATGTTTAACGTCGTTGTCGTTGTCGTCTGTGGAACAGGGGGTCACGTACCCGGCTTGCCACGGAATCTGGGCCAAGTGGGCCCCGCCGTTAGAACGCAGTCGCCTGGCCACGACGGCCTTCTGTGGTGAGTATCCCGTCGTGGATTTGTGAAAGCCCTGCGCACACACACACAAGTGCACGCATACAAAAGACAAAGATCCCCCCCAAAAGCCTTAACACACGCACGCACGCACACGCATAAACGCGCACACATGCGCAAGCACACACAGAGCAATGCACGCAACGGACGAACGCATACACACATAGGTACTTACATAGACACAACAACAACAACCGCCATTCGCCACTAAGTGGCGGTGATGTCACCACGACGCTTGTGCCAGGCCATGTGCACCTTGAGGCCATGTGAAGTGTCGAACGCCCGCGGGCAGGAGGTCACGGGGCAGACCCAAGTGCCACGGGTCGACTGACTAAGATGACTGAGACGACTGGCTGATGCACCACCTGTGCCCCCTACTGTGCCAACCTGCTGTGCTTTAGCCACCCGGCGCTCCGCTCGTTGTGAGCGTCGCTCCTCTGCCCTCCGTTGTTGTTGGAGGGCGACTGCCTCCAACTGCCCAGTAGCATCCTTCACGAGCCTCCTCCACAGAGGCCGATCTTGACACTGCTGGTACTAGTCATCGGCAAGTCCACTCAGCTCCACGTCCTCCTGTACCACATCACTCCATCTCTTCTCTAGCCCGTACGCGCCCGTTTAGCCCCCTCGATCCGGCCGAACAAAAGCTGTTTCGGCATGCGGTGGCTGGGCATGCGGGCTACATGACCCAGCCAACGCAGCCTTGCCTGCCGGAGGAGCTCACTGATGGGACCTTGCCCAGATCTTTGAAGTATTTGTGAGCTCCTCACACAATCCAGCCTGGTTAAACCAGGATGAATCGTAGGCAGGCTAGCCTAAATGTTTCTAGCTGGCGAAGATGTTCCATTAGGGGGGTTCACGTTTCGCAAGCGTAGAGAAGGGAGGGAATGACCGTGGCCGAGAAGACCTGAAGCTTAGTGTGGAGCGACAGACCAGGTAGCTTCCACACAGCGCTACGCAACCGATGAAAAGATATTGCCGCTCGACTGATTCGGAGTGAGACCTCTGCTGTTAAACTGGAGCCGGTCATAAGCACACTGCCCAGGTATGGGAAACTCTCCACTCTCTCCACAACTGCCCCATCACCGATTGGGAGTTATGGGGGTGGAGTGTCCGATGGTACAAAATAGCTAAACAGGTGCTTAGTTTTGGTGGGGCTGATGGTAAGGCCCCATGTCTTAGTGGCACGCTCCAGTCTCAGCAGCAGCGTCTCCAACTCCTCCTCTGAATAAGCAGCTATTACCAAATCATCGGCATACATAACGTGGTTGAGCAATAGGGAGCCATACCTTGACCGCACCCGGTCATCGATCAGCCTCCCATTATATTTGTACCATATGGAGATTCCCCCGGTACAGCTATTGAAGGCTTCACAAACTACGTGGTCAAAATAGATGTTAAATAATGTGGGAGCCAGAGGATATCCCTGTCGCACCCCAAGGTGTACAGGGAATGGCTCTGACTACCGGCCACGTAGTTTTACCCGGGCCCGCTCACCATCATGAAGGTCCTTAATGATCGTGAGCAGAGGGTCTGGTATTCCAAAAGCACGAAGAACAACCCAGAGCCCAGGCCTACTGATGGTATCATAGGCCTTGACCAGGTCAATAAAGCAGCGATGTAGGTCTTGCTGGAATTCCATACACCTCTGCTGTAGCAGATGGACAGAAAAAAATGGCATCTGTGCAGGACCGCCCTTTCCTGAAACCGCATTGGGGCTCTGCAAGCCTCTCCTCAGCGTGCCTGGCAAGGCGATGTTGAATAATCCTTGCCAGGACCTTTCCCGGCACACTGAGGAGTGAGATGCCCCTGTAGTTGTTATAGTCTGTGCGGTCCCCCTTCTTACAGAAGGTGACCACCAGGGCATCCTTCCAATCCTGCGGAACCCGTCCAGTGGTCCATACTGTCGTTATGATGTCATATAGGGCAGTCTGTGCACAAACACCACCCTCCCTCAGCATTTCGTTTGGGAGATCATCTCTGCCCTCTGCCTTTCCTGGTCTCAGACTCCGGATCGCCTTCAGTACTTCCTCAACAGATGGCACTTCAGCCAGCCACTCACAGGGGGTGACTTCTTCCAATATTAAAGGCACCGCAGCCTCAGCAGGGTTATCCTCACTTTGTGCCACGATGTTTTCCTGGCTGAGGGATTTTCCCTCCCCCAGGACCTCACAGAAATGCTCAGCAAATCTGCAAACCTGTTCCTGGGGGTCGGAGATTGGATCACCGTTTTTTCCCCTAATGATGGTAATAGGTGTGGCGCTGCAGGTTACTTTTTTGATGGAGTTAAAAAGATATTTGTGATCGCGGGCCACTGAGGCAGACTCCATCTCCTCAGCAACCCGCGACCACCACCCATCCTTGCAGCGCCTCACGGCTCTCCGAACCTCCGAGCGAAGGCTGCGGTAAGCCTCCTCATTCTCTGACTTGGACGGACGGGCAACTCTGTCGTGGACAGTGCTGTGGGGGGAGGTCCAATTCCGATTGGCTCCTCCCCTCATGGCGTCTGTGACTACCACAGGGGCTAAACGCGGGCTCTGGACGGGTGCGAGGGGCTGGTAACCCCTCCACCTTCAAAAATGTACCACTAAACCACGTCTAAAATACATAGACACACACACACACAGGTGCACGTGGGCATATGCAAAACACGTGCAAAGATCTCCCGTATAGTGCACGCGCACGGGCACACACACACACTGCTTTTTGTGTTTAGTTTGTTGTCCTTCCCCCGCACCTCCGGTTAGGACGGTTGGCTACGTAAGGTACGAAAGAAGTTCAACAAAGACACCTACATACGATACACACAGATGCGTAACACACACGAGGCATGATCACCTCACTGCACGTGCCGGTATAAGCTCACACGTGCCAGTGCCTCGCAGCTGTGATGTCACTGCACGTGACAGTATAGGCTCACACGTGCCAGTGCCTCGCAGCTGTGATGTCACTGCACGTGACAGTATAGGCTTACACTTGCCAGTGCCTCGCAGCTGTGATGTCACTGCACGTGACAGTATAGGCTTACACTTGCCAGTGCCTCGCAGCTGTGATGTCACTGCACCTGACAGTATAGGCTCACACGTGCCAGTGGCTCGCAGCTGTGATGTCACTGCACGTGACAGTATAGGCTCACACGTGCCAGTGCCTCGCAGCTGTGATGTCACTGCACGTGACAGTATAGGCTCACACGTGCCAGTGGCTCGCAGCTGTGATGTCACTGCACGTGACAGTATAGGCTCACACGTGCCAGTGCCTCGCAGCTGTGATGTCACTGCACGTGACAGTATAGGCTCACACGTGCCAGTGCCTCGCAGCTGTGACGCCACGCGATATAACGTATGCGTTGCAGCGAGGGTCAAATTACCCACTCGTTTTGTAAAAAAAAATTCCCCTCCCTCATGAATTAAAGAACAAAGGCAAACCCGTTCTTTGTCTCGTGGGTACACACCCGACCTGTCGCGCGTCTCGGGTCGCGCCGCGTCGAACGTCAAATTTGGTCTACAGAGGCGTTGCTGCGACGTTGACTGCTCTGTGTTTTTTGTGAGTGTGTGTGTTGTTTCTATTGTTCGCATACACAGCCACGCTCTGTGGTGACGCCACCAGTGTTAGAGGTCTCGCACGTGAAAGTCACTTTAACAACAGCAACAACAAAGTTATTTTTGCTCGTTAACGAAGCTTTAAAGCTCACGTGGGCACCGCCTGGCATGTTCGGCGGCGATGATTTGTATCTTACAAGGGTTGCTTTGTCTTTTATGTAGCTGTCTCCTTCTTTCGTTTAGCTGCGCCCTTTTATGTGGCCACGTCCTTCATTTGTTTAGTGGGGGCTTCTTTCGTTTAGCTGCGACCTTTCATTTAGCCACGTCCTTCCTTCGTTTAGCTGCATCCTCCCTGTGTCCTCCCTTCGTTTAACTGCGTCCTTCATTCGTTTAGCTGCGTCTTTCTTTCGTTCAGCTGCGTCCTTCCTTCCTTCCTTTACCCGCTATATTCCTTCGTTTTAACCGGATCCTTCTTTAAGAATCGTGCCAGTCGCAATCATCGCCCATGTCACGATAGTCAGCCACGATGTTACCCGCTGCTGGACGAACCCCCCCCCCCCCCCCTGCTCACTCCCGCCGGTCCCGTTGCCACTGCTCACAGTCCAGCGAGCCTCTCCCACGATCCGCCTCGAGACTTCTGCACTCGAGCCCATTGCTCCACTCCAGAGCTGCGATGGACATCCTCCAATGCACCCCCACTTCCCCTCCCTCTCACCGCCTCGCCCCTTGCCTCGATTTACTAGAATCCCGACATTGTATCTATGGATGTATAATCATTGTTGAGTTTGCCCAATAATGATTAAAAAAATAGCAAGTCTGATTTATAATACACGATGCAGGTGGTTATTGAGACACCTACATTCAAGCGGTATCCCATATAACACAACCGTAGGACTGTTTGTTTAGGCAGGGATATAAATGTATTGTTTAATGCATATTGTTACATAATTTGTGTATGATTGCGGAATTCTCGCCGTTTACATTAATTCCCATCGCGGTGCAGGCACGTGCAACGACGAGTTCAATTTGTAAATGCGGCACTTTGGCGTGCACACTTATTGGGGATACGTTACGCCGCGGCATTATCATGCATCGACTTTCGGGGCCATCGTAGAGCAAAATGAAACATGAAGAGCCCCACTGATGACGGAAAAAAAGGCCTTTGAGAAAAAAGTGAAAAGTCAGATGATCAAGGGTTTCGACGTGAATGTAAAATCGTACACTTCAGAAAATCCGATTAGATGCCAATGCCAGACTGCACCTGTGCACTCGCGTCGTCCGTGGACAGTTGCCGGTGCATCACTCATCGTATTTTTACATCATCATTCGTCAAAATGTTTACATCATCAGGATCATCATCACCAATACGTTTACATCATCAGTAAATAACAATACTCATCATGCCTTTGCGTCTGTTGGTAAAGTCACGTAGATAGGTTTAAAGAAAATAACAAAAAACTACGACGTTTCGATCGCAACACAAGCGGTCGTCATCAGGAAAGGGGGGTTAGCTTCTCAAGGCAAACTATTTATAAAGGTTTGAAATGGGCGTAGCCCGAATGTGAGCCCAAATAATACATCTATAGGACTTTGTCAATCCACTGATGGATGGAAGCCTCCCCACGCCTACATGGGGGTTGCTTGACCGTACTTCATTATGCGGGTCAGTGCGGGCTGGGTGGGTGGACGTGGTGGCCTAGGGCCGGTTCAGACATCACTCGGCGTTTGCCACGGACTGAAAGTCATATTTTGTGTATTTTAGACCAAGGACAATAAGGAAGCTGCATTGGCAGTGGTGCGGAAGCTCAGCAACAAAACTGCCTATCTTTTTGGCATTTGACGCTGCCTTATAACTTCAAATATATATTAGTAGGCCAATATTTTTGGAAGTTACTGCTCTTCAGCCAGAAGGACGGACAGCTTGATTGGTTAATATTTGAAGACTGCATTTTACTGTCGGGTGTGTTAAAGCCAGTATATATTTTTAAAAAGTTGACATGTGAACGACGTTGAATTGACACGAGCAATTTTCCATGATAAGACATTGAGCAGCAAACGCGCTCTTACACAGTCTAAATGTACATTTATACGGTATATACATGTACATATGTATGTTGAACTTCTTTCGCACTCAACGTAGGCAACCGTGCTAATCGGATATAACACAGGGGGTTTAGGGAAGAGGGGGACATCATGCCGATACAAGTGTATTGAGTTTTCTTCACAGGATATTAGAGCTCATGGACAAAGGCAGCTGGTCATGATCTCAGAAAAGCCACCTACATACTCGTGACAATGGAAATGCCTGCCATTCCGGAAAGCCTCGTTGAGCGTTATGACAATTTTTTTTCAGGAGGGTCCTGCATTGCAATGTTTGGCCAATTCACTCGTTTAGGTGTTTAGCATCTTTGATGAACCGGGGCATGGGTGAACTGCCGCACATGAGGAGTTAACGCACTCACAAGCTCTGTGCAGATAGATTCAAGAATCAATTTCTGTACTGTTGGCCACCTCGCAGCCCAGGCGTACAACACCTGGCATTCCCAGAAAGTGTCCCATTCAAGTACTAACCAGGCTGAACCCCCACTTAGCCTCCGAGATCTGATGAGATCAGGTGCTTTCGGGATGATATCTCTTGAAATTGGCGGTGAGCTGACACGTGTAGCTGTCTCGAACAACAGCCACAGTGTGAATGCTGTTACTGCCGCTGGTGCTGTGTGTGTGTCCGCATCTTCTTTACAGGTTCCTATGCAGGAGCCGTGGTGGCAATGCCCTTGGCCGGGATATTGGTGCAGTATGCAGGATGGTCGTCAGTGTTTTATGTGTACGGTGAGTGCAACCAAATATGGATGCTCTAGTAGAGGGCTGGGGAATCCTATAGCGCCATGGTGGGCGAGATATTAACTACCTCGCCTGATATACAGGAAGATCATGGGTTCGATCCCGACCCTGACAATCCCTGTATATTTGGAGTTTGCATATTCTTCCAGTGGTGGTCGCGTGGATTTTCTCCGGGTTCTCTGGTTTTCCCCTCCACATTTAGACTCAACATTCGTTTAGTGTATTTGGCAACTCTAAATTTCGACATGATAAGCCACTTCTGATGAGCGATCATTTGCGGCCGGGTCGCTCCTGAATAAAATAGCTCTATAGCATCTCAGTGGGCCTTACCTGGGTAAAATAAATAGTGGTCTAGTTTATAGTACGTGGGCCAAATCCAACCCGTTATCTTCATTTGTATACAGCCCGCTGCATCACGCGGCCTACCACGTCCAGACGCCCCGCACACATTGTTTCTTTTTTCACCGCAAGCATCTTAGCTGCGCCAATGGCATCCAGTAGCAGTTGGCGATAAGCAGTTATAATATGAGCAACGCACGCTTTTATTACACTGGTGGAGGGTAGGCAATGGCTAACTTCTGATGCAAGTGCACAGCTGGACTTGCTTCCAAAGGTCTGCTTATATCCAGCAGCAACCGCACTCGAGGAAAATGTTTCCAGCCTGGCAACGCTGCGTTTCTCAGTTAAGGGTGATCAGTCACTTCTGCCACGCATTTACACGACACGGATTCATGTGAGAATGCGCATCCTGTCGAAGGGATGTGAAATTGCTATTTGGCCCTTGGTAAAGGTAAGGTTGCCCCACTCCTTCCGTAGGGCACGGATGCACCTCCGATTAGCGCGGTTGGCTACGTATGGCGCGAAATAAGTTCAACTTACACACCTACTTGCTGCCTGGGTGCTGTGGCAGAGTGCGTAGCTCACGACGGGAAAGGAAGCGAGCTTGGGTTTTTAGTCTAATTCGTGTTCGGCTCAGCCGCAGAGGTGGATCTGGAAACTTTCCAAGGTAGGTGGGCTATTCCAAATTGAAATATTTGTGAATAGGGACCTACATTAATAAGAAACAAACAAAACACACATTGAATGCATCTTCTCTGTAAGTATTAATAAGATACCAATTTTCAGGGCCTCGTGTCTGTGGGCGATCGCAACCATTGCCGCTATCCCCCCTGGATCTACCGCTGACTCGGCCCATCACCCCTCTGGGGGCCGATATAATGAGTCCTAGCCACGTAACAATCGGTTCTCCTGCTAATGCGATGAATTGGCATGATGGGCAGTGGTCGTTCAGTTCCAGAATTGATTATATTTATTTTATTTGTACTGCCATACTTGTCTCGCCTGTAATATATCTTGCCGTTATTCTCTTCTTGGTTATTTTATCAGCCTAAATATATAACGATAACGTACCATTTTGGAATGAATCGTCCACAACTGATTCTTAAGTGTCCATTTCAATGCACATACCACGAACATAGGAATCGACTTTAATTGGCGAATCATTACATGAGCTAAGGAGCATCACTTCACGGGGATGTTAACAGCAGTTGCCCGCTGGAAGGGATTGGCCCCTGTTAAATAAATGTGCAATTTACCACGACTGGCTCAGAGATTAAAAATAAAGATGAAGGCACTGCCCCTTGCACAGCTCAACAGGGAAACCATTTAAAACGAGGCAATGTGGATCAATCAGTGTAGGGATGTCACGTGGCATGCATGACATGATAGCAGAGCTGACCCCTATCCTGACCCTATACTCACAATGTTGCCTCTCGCAGTCCAGAAATCACCGTCTGAAGGCGCGGTAGTACGATGCCGTATTTGTTGTTCGGCCTGCACGCACGTTTGAGTCTTAACGAGTTTCTCATCATTCACAGAGAGCGTTCTAATTGGCTTAACGAGATGCATGGACGTCCTAAGTGATTTACAAATTACCACAGGGTCGAAGCTCTTTTGGAATACTGTACATCCATACACACACACACACAATACATTGCGGACAAAGAGATTATTATAGAGAAGACCTGAGTACCCATTCAACACTATTGTTGTGTGAATTAGCTATGCTGCATTGTTTTTAAAACATTGACTTTGGTCTGAAATCACTTCCTTGCTGAGGATGTATCTCAAATACCCCTTTGCTCTAGAACATCGAGATGTACCGCATGGGGTGCGTGTATAAATAATAATCATGATCATGATGATAATACATTATAATGAAGATGATCTTCAATTAAAAAATACAAGTGTACATTTGATTCACTGCCCTTGCATTTTGTTTGTGCGTGCATGTGCGTGTGCGCGTGTGTGTTTTTAAATGTGCAGGATCGTTCGGCCTTTTCTGGTACATATTCTGGTTGTGCATTGCCTACGAGAGCCCGGCCAAACATCCCACCATCTCGGACGAAGAGAAGACCTACATCGAGGAGAGCATCGGCGAATCGTACGGGATTTTGGGATCGACGCAGGTGAGCATCGATGCCATCACACCCAACACGTGATGTTTACTCCTTCGCCAGGTATACAGGAGGTCGTGGGTTCGATCCCGACCCTGACACTTGCGTCTGTATATGTGGAGTTTGCGTGGTTCTACCCGTGGCTGCGTGGATTTGTCTTAGTTTACTCCGGTATTTCGCTGCACATTTAAGTAGCATGCGTTGTTTCGCTGCTATACATTCCCACATGATAAGCCATTTTGTTGGCCTACCATTTGTGGCCAGGTCGCTTCGGAAAAAGATATGTAAAGCTCGGTGTGGCTTACCTGGTAAAATAAAAAATAGTAAATAAATACAAAAATAGCCTTTAACATTGTGCCGTTCATGTACTGCTTGGACGAGGGTCTCCCCAAGTGATACGCGGGATCATGGCAGCATGATTTGACCACGCCGGTCATTGCGAGTTGTTGAAGGTGGAGGCAGACCCTCATCCAGCAGTGGATTAAGACAAGTGCGTGTGTGTGTGTGGTGGGGGGGGCATAGACGAGGGGAAATAGTACAGTACAACATTATATTGCAGAACAACTCTCTGCTGCCAACACCATAGCCCCGCAATGGCCTATGACAACCTGTTTGAATGCGTAATGATCACCTGTGCAAGTTACTGTTCAGGCTCAAAATCCTGCTTAGCTTTCGAGACCTGACGAGATGATTTGAGTGATGTGGTCAACAACACTTGCCACGCCATAATGGAACTTGTTGTTATGATTGTTATAGGCTTTCACTCTATATCTATACGATGTCAGTGGGTGTGATTTTTATTCTTCTACTTTTACGCACGGCGCTTTGAGATACCTCAAGATGAATTTGTAGCCATTGAAGAAACACACCTCTGTACAGAGCATCAGGAGGCCGTGTGAATTCTACAGGGCGCTTAAAAAAATGTTAACACTTAAATGGGACTATCGTTTTTAATGGAAAAATAACGGAAAATATGCTGTAACCTGATAACAAATGTATGCTAATAGTTTCAAAAAGTCAAAGAGTCTCTACTTCATTGGACCTCCTTTGCCAGTACCAAAAGTATTGTGGTTAATGCAGATATGAATCCTTGTAAAAAAAGGTTTCAGTTTTGTTGCCAGAAAAAAGGGTAAAAACCCGATTGTTATGAGTCTCTACCTGTTCGCCATCATTGTCACATGCCTATAATCTTCTCCAGCTGGTCTCCAGAGCCCTGAGGCACATTTCTCGTGGTATTGTTACAAATTCTCAGAAGTGTTAAAACATTTTTTTGAAGCACCCTGTATACTTTGACCCCAATACAAAGCCGCAACGTCGTTTCCTCGCTCGAGGACCCATCCGCTGGCAGCGTCCTACGCGCTCCACTCGTGCGTTGGTTCACAGCAAGAATCTCACCCGGTTCAAATTCGTAACACTTCGATTAAATCTCATCCCACTGCCATCCGCCGATGCATACTCTGTTGGTCGCGAAAGCCTACATGTTAAACTGCATACTCTGTTGTTACGTTACGTTGACTTTCTGTTCACGGCAAGCAATGGATACATGCGACACGCACGCTTGGCCAAGCACTTGCATATCGGGGTTACCGTTCATCATCACGTGTCCGATTGCTATTGTGTCACCCTTTGTGAGCATAAAAGGAACTCACAAACGAAAACTTCGTGAAAGACCCAACGCAGAAGATCTCTAGGTTTGATCTTCCACGAAGCTCACGGTCCACCATAAATCGCATCCGTGCAAACCATGGCAGATGCGGATACAGTACCTGATGCACAAATGGAAATTTAAAAACTCTCAAGCAGTGTGCGACTGTGGTCATCCAGAACAGACCGTACAATATATAACGACGCGATGCCCCGATCTACAATACCAAGGAGACATCACAGCAACACACTCTGCTGCTCCTGACATGGCTATTATCTGGGCTTGACCACCTGAATGTGAAATTGCAGACGTTGCCCTGCATCTACATCAGCCATACGAAAGTAGAATATGGAGTAATACGGTTGTTACGCTTCAGTAAGCCGATGGGATGGTATAAAGTCTCATCTGCCCCAAAAAATAACGGTCACGGAAGAATTGGCAAAAGTTCCCTGAGAAATTATGAATGTGTATTTTATTTGCACCTGGGTAAGACGAGTGTACGTGGTTCACTTTGCTATTTTGTTGTTGTTGGAAAACTCCGGGCACCTGTCATTTCTCAGCTTCGCCATGAATTTATACAGTGGATCCATATAGTGCATTTGTACAGTGAATTCGTACAGCAGATTCATGGAGCGTATTAATACAGTAGTTCATACAGTGAATTCATGCAGTGCCACTTGAGACTTCTGAATATAAACTTTTCATGAAAGTGCTTCTATTTAGACTGGCCGGAGCAATTCCTATCCATTATTCATGATCCAATCTATATGCAAATATCGTGGTGGCTTAATTATGGCGTATTTATGGCTTAGTATTACCGTTGTGCATTTGTATTTCACTTGAATTAAACACCCGCATGAAGCTGTGAAATAAATCAGTTGCACATTTGTACGCTGCGCAATATATATACTCTGAAAACCGCGCCACAGTGAAGGCCACCGATCTCAACACATGAGTGGCAATGAATCTGAACGGATAATAATTGACACCTCTTAGTTCATTCGCTGTTGGGTGAAAGATTCTCCCCATGCCACCATGCCTTGCGCAGAGTCTGTCGAGTTGGAAAGCGTTGCTGAAACCCACAATTCCTGTCCACGATTTTTATGTTTTTTATTCTTTCCCTCTTTCTCTCTTTTTATCGAATCTCAGAAATTCAAGACTCCCTGGAAAAAATTCTTCACCTCCATGCCGGTGTACGCCATCATCGTGGCCAACTTCTGCCGGAGCTGGACTTTCTACCTGCTTCTCATCTCGCAGCCTGCCTACTTCGAGGAGGTGTTTGGCTTTGAGATCAGCAAGGTGACTGCAGAGCACAGCACGTGGCGCGGTGTGGCTTAGCGTGGTGTGGCGTGGCGCGGTGTGGCGCGGTGTGGTGTGGCGTGGTTCTTTTGCTGAAGCCACCGGCTGCTCTGGCTCCTGGCTCAGCTGCTGGGTCGGATGACAGCTGCTCCATCGATCCAAACCCCACCCTGAACACAATCTACCGAGGCTCCCTTCACAATCCCCCAAGCTGTTGCATTCACGTGCGCCCGTACAGTTAAAGACTTGAGTTTCCTTCCCAGCCAGGGATAACGTTCGTGGCGAGTGATGTCCGAACCGGTTTTGGGTTGCCCCCAATTGTTAGCTCCCTGCGCTATGAACCTCGCAGCCTGAGTTTGATTCTCCGTCACGGGAAACGTCAGTGCCTACACCAGTACTGGTCCCCTTCACCATACTGGTCGAAAGTGGTGAAGTATGGTCAAGCTATTTCCATATCGGATACACGTGGTGTGGTAAAGCAATGTAATCTAATCACCAATCTTATCCAGTATTGAGATACATAATTGTAACTACGCTTTGCGCTTTTACGTGTGAATTATAGATGTGTTTTGTATATATTATCTTTTGATTGTTGCACATATTTTTCCAATTCTCGAATCAAATTTTTTAATCAAATTGTGACAGTTTATCCAACAACTGGAAATATTCATTGTTACAAGCCCAATGTTCATCATCGTCATCATCGTCATCATGGCATCGTCTTCTTGATGTGTAAGCAATATGGGGTTCTTCTCTTACAACTCCGACGCGTGTGGCTTTTAGTGTCTGGTTCAGAACACCTGTCAGTGTCACCCTATCCGGCGTGAACTCCATGTGGCCGAGCAGTGTGTGTATGTATGTTGAACTTCTTTCGCCCGCGTACGGAGGCAACCATCTTCACCGGAGGTGTATGCAGACACGGGGAGTGACTACGCCCGTGCTGTCCACGTTTGTGTCTGTGCGCGTGTTCACACGCGAGTTCGATCCTCGCTCATGGCCAACACCGGTGACGATTATCTGAACCGGTCCTGGGACTTCCCTACGTCGACTCGGCCTCAAATGAGTACCTGGTGCTGGCCAGCCGACCCCCTCGTTTGCTGTTTCCGGCCTTCATAGGTGCTCGCGAACAGCACTTGGCCCCAACAGTCTGTTTCGGCTATACGGGGGATCTTTGTCTTTGTTCACAACGGGAATGGTGGCACAGCGGTGAGCGTGCTGCACGATGACCCCTGGCTTTCCGATGTCGATGCCCAGTAATTGATAACGTCAGTGGTGCTTGTATTGATCCAATCCTGGGCCCTCCTCGAGGTCAACTATATTCTTGCATCAGCATTTTAACCACATTCTTGAATCAAAGTGTGACCCCAGATTGTGGCAATTCGTCACCTTTCTGGAGAGGATGAATACGACAACAAAAATGTGTAAACTCACGTGCCTGGCGATGTCTATGAACATCTACACAGCACTTCGGGGACAAAGGTCACCAACCGGGCGTGGTATTGGCCACACCGACGCCCCGGTGTGTCCACGCTGGCTGCCTTCACAAGGTGCTCGCTGAGAGCAACCTGGCCCCCAACAATCTGTGTAAGCCACGCGGGGGCCAGGATGGGGGGATCTCTTCGTCTTTTTGGTCACAAAGGCAGCAAGGGAGAGAGAGAACCCCCGTGTGCCGCTGTCACCTCTTGCAATGGGGATGCCTCTCGTAGCCTTGTGGAGCAGTGGCCTTGGCGCTTCATTATCCGTGCTCGCGAGCGCGCATCCATAGCGACGGCGGGTCGGACACTTAGCCACAAACGCTAACGAGCAAGACCCTCGGTTAGTCGTCCTTCGAGCACGCAGCCGGGGCCCGTCTATTGTGATTGCAATTAATGCCGTTAATGAAATGCTTTGGAAAAGGCACCCACAATTAATAATCTCGCTATATTCGTCGTACATTGAATGTATTTAATTAGGTGTTTTTTCTTCCCCTTTTCATAAACAGATTATTCATTGTTGGCATTACTTTGCCTCGGATGGTTCATTTTATTTAATGGCCATGTGTTTGAGCTCTCCAATCTATAGCGTGGCGGTGCTTTGAAGTGATTTTGAAGTCGAAATCTTGTCAGAACAGCGGTGAACAAAAACACTTCACCCGTAATTAATTTGTTTGCGTAATAATAACAACAACAACAATGATCCGCCCAGTAAAACAAACACAAGAGAAAAATTCCTCTTGTAATCTGTCCGGCAATTGGGATCGTGAGTTCGGCTCTGCAGATTGTTCAGGCGAACTCGTTGAACTCTGAAGAGGATGGCCATTCAACGCGTACTGCCGAGTCAAAATTCGGCACTCAGTTCTCACGCCGCAACGTTTATTTACTGCTACCAGATGCGACGGCAGATCATGGTGCTCGCGTGAAAGCGTTAGCATGAGGTGAACCAGCCTGCAGCGTAGTTATAACTATTTTTATTATAATTGTGATGTAACTTGTAACGTGACGCACGGCACACGCTCGCTCTCAAGGGGAGACAGAATGATGGAGGTCCAAGTAACAACCGACAAGCAGGAAGCCAGCCACGTGCCGGCACCAACAAATTATCCTGATGGCGGTACCCCGGGGTACCAAATAATACTAAATGGGCCGAGGCAATTAAATATTTTATTTCTGGGACACTATTTTTTTCCAGGGGTGTTACTTAACTCTGCGACTTGGGTACCAATCATTCCGAAATCAGTGCCACACTCCGCCATGTCGAAACGCCAAACATCAGCATAAAAAAATCCATCATCAAAATTTTTTACTTTGAATAGTGCATCGTGTACGGCTCGTCGAGATGAGTCGATTGACGCATCGCCGACCATCAACAGACTAAAAATGACTGCATCACGGACATTATGCGAGAGCCGGGGCACTAGGGTACCCCGGGGTACCGCCATGAGGTTCAATTGCCCAAGCTCTGCGGTCCACTATATATGAAGGTGTTATCGGTCAATTAATGGGTGTTTACATTTATTTCAGTTCCATTTATTTGGTATAGCCCTGTGCGTCATTCGGCTCTTGAATCGGGTGCAACCGCAACAAACAAAAACATGAACAAGAAAACATCTTAAAGTGACTATGTGCATGTGGGAGGAGCACCCAGAGATAAACGCACGTTCACGAGGGGGAAACACTGGATCCCATACGGACGGAGCGGGGGCGGAGTCGACATTCTGGCTGCATCGCGTTCTCCTGGCGAGCCGGGGTTACGGCACCTGCCCGTCGAAGCATGCAGGCCGTGCAACTGCACCGTTGCCCACGAACTAGAAAGGGGGCCTTAGGCGCCGGGCTATGCGGAGAGAGGAACAGGAATTGCTCATGGGCAGACCCAGTGTTGCGCGCCTCGCCACGTTGTTTAGGTGACCGCGACGATTCAGACGCCGATTGCACCATGGACAAGGTATTGACACGCGCGGGGAATTTGGTTTGAAGATGAGTGGCAGGCAAATTCAACACTCGGGGTCAACCTTTTATTTTATTTTGAGCTGAGTTGCCTGATAGCTGGGTATCCTCACGTGACATGTAAACATTCAGCCCCCATTCCCTCTGCGATTCCATGATTCGTCATAATTCAGCAAACACTTCGATTCAATAATGAAGATGTTTTCATGTCCTCTTCTTTGTATGTCTTTGGTGGTGATGTCTGCCTCACATTGTAGTGTCTGTATTGTTTGTTTCACTTTTACTGTCTTGTACTATCCGTATTTTTAGGGTTTTTTGTTGACTGTCTCATCCATTTGGCAAGTTTGCCCCGCGATCAAACTGAAAGGTCTGAAACACAGCTTCCTTTGTGATAGACTTGTGCCGAAAGACTGGTGCGATTGACAAACGTACGGATGCTCTCATGGATTTGTTCACCACTCCCATGTCCATTCATTCATCCATGCATGTACGTATATCTCCATCTCCTGCAGGTGGGCATCATCTCGGCTCTTCCCCATCTGGTGATGACGATTGTGGTGCCCATCGGAGGACAACTGGCCGACTTCTTCCGCAGCAAGAAGATCATGTCCACTACCACCGTGCGGAAGATGATGAACTGTGGAGGTGAGTGGGTCCTCGTGGCTACAGCTGGGGGGGGGGTCTCGTGGTCACTGTAGAGGAGGCACTCGTGGCCAGTCTGGCCTCGAGCTACGGGGAGAAAGGACGATAGCTGGTGGACAGAAATAATTTGCAGAGGGGCAGCTTGGGAGGGAAATGCACCGGAGAGCATCACCATCGACGAGGAGATAGAGCGATCAAAAACTTCTGTGTAGGTGATATAACTGCTCAACCCGAGCTATTAATACTTTGATATTTGCATTGCCTTTGTGCATGCATTGCCTTTGTGCTTGTTATCATGGTTATTATGCCTTTGTCCTGTTTGCCTTTTGGTGTTCTCTGGTCTAAAACTGAAGAAGGCTGTCTCTGGTGTAGGCCAATCAGTTTCAAAGACAATGCGTATAATTATATTATCTGAGTATGTTTGTATGTATGTATTGCTGACTTGCAATAGTTACCCATTTGGTGTTTGAGCATCTTAACACCTGTTTTATTGCCGGAAAGGGTAAAGCCTATTCTTTTGTTTCCCATGTGGATTATTACGTGACAGGAGGATGAGAGATAGTGGCGTCTTTGGGAGGCCTTATTACAGCAGTGGATTAAAGTTTATGATGAGAATGATTAATTCAGGGGTCAAATTTTTAAAATGTTTTTTTTGTGAAGCCTTGGCCTATGAATATTTGTAAATGGAGGTTTTCCAAGTGTGCCGAGTCTCAATGAACATCATATATTTTGATAATTAGATTCCTTGGGTAATGCTTTGGATGGTGTGATGCAAAAAACAATTGAAAGTCAGATAAGCCCAATTTGGTTATTTGAGTACAATAAAACATAATGTTATGCCATATTGATAATATGGATATCACAACACAGATTTCTTCTCCATGTATTGTAGAACTGGACATGACAATTATTTTGACACGGCATGTACTGTACTCCTGGGCATCAAATTTTAAGCCACTAATCTTGAAAGCACGGCTTAGTGGCAGAGAATACTGCACGCGTTTGTATTCCGATTCAAAAGTCTCTGCACATTGGTGTTTCAACTCAAACAAAGCCACTGGACAAAGCATTAGTTCGGCAAGACAGTCTCGAAACAACGACAGCTCAGATGCTAACTTGTGAAATGCGCCAAGATAGAAGCAAATGAGCAGCGCTGCAATTGCTTGCTCACGGAACTGCTTGTGAAACGGGGCCTTCCCACTACAAGTTCCTCGAGAGAGCCCCTCCATGAGGGGTACGTTGCCCTGCTTTCCCATGCTGGCCTGACGTCTTGGAAGAGGTGGAATAACCCACACTTTACCCCACCACACGGCAACCTGTCGATCGCCATCTGTAGTGAACCCAACTATATACTGCTAAGTGAACAGAGTCAACGGTTAGGAGGGGGATGTTTAAGAAACTCGCATCATTGTTTCAACTGCCGTGCTGGGAGAGTGAACCTGTGACCTCAGCGTTCAGTGGGCTACCCATTACACCAGGGCAGCCTCTAAGTCTAATGCTGAATTATGATTCGTAAGAGTTCTTAGCTGGGACGTTGGCATCCAAGCGTCATTAGTTTTCGAGTTTCATCTCAACAGAATGCGTTATCCCCCCCCATGCAATCCAGGCTTCCCGCACACGGCCAGCATTAACGGGCATCCTGTATTTGTGCTGTGAATGTGCTTTGATTTCGGCTGATTAAATTCAGGACATGCGGTGGAACCCGAGTATCTGCCACAGTCCAACATTCACGCAGCGGGAGAAAAATAAAGGATAGAGAAAAACTAAATTAAAACGAGAACTAGTTTTATGTTTTACCAGGTAAGACCCACTGAGGTATATTGCTCTTTTTCACAAGCGATCTGGCCACAAATAATAGCCCAACGAACTGGCTTTTCAAGTGGGAATTTCTAGCAGCGAAATAATATAAACACATGTTGATTCTAAACGTGGCGGTGGAAAAACCAGAGGACGTGACCGCGGGGAGAACATTCAAACTCCAAATATACAGGCGTCAGGATCGGGATCGAACCCAAAGCCTCTTGTGTACCAGGTGAGGTAGTTAACATCTCGCCATCGTGGCACCCCAGCGAAGAGTAGCGGGCGGAAGATACAACGTTAGGTGATAGGGCCAAATCTGAAGTTTTTTCAACAGAAGACCGAATGTTCCTGGAAACCAGATTGCGCGATGCCCGTTCCTCGTGTTTCCTGGTGGCGGCATCGCGCGTCGCTCGGCACGACGCCCTGAAGCGGCTCCCGCACAGCACGGAAAACTCATCGCAGAGTTCTACTGCTCGAGCGAGGAAAGCTACGCATAGGGGGGGGGTTAATTACTTCATAATGGCATTCCAAGAAACACCGCTTTGTGCCCGAGTCTGGTGTCCTCACTCACTCATTGATTTCTTTATTTAACCATTCTTTCAATCAATTGATCAATCTATCCATGCAATATTTAGCGCTTCCATTAATTCACTCACGCGTGTTGACATGTCTTTCGCCCCGTAGTACGTAGCCCAACCTCGCTTTGACCGTTTATTCGGCCCGCACATTGGAACGATGGGAGGCGACGCTCCGGTTGACCCCTCGGCTAACCGTGCCGTTGTCCCATTTGCTGCGTGTCCGTGCGAGTGCAGGCTTCGGCATGGAGGCCACTCTGCTGCTCGTGGTCGGCTTCTCCCACGGCAAGGGCATCGCCATCACCTTCCTCGTCCTCGCCGTCGGCTTCAGCGGCTTCGCCATCTCAGGTTCGGCGGACAGCGGCGATCGGGGCCCTCGAGCAAACACAATTTAACAGCAAACAAAAACTCGCTCCGAGCCTGTGCGCACGGGGAGGCCGCGATACGGAGGCTCTGGGCTTGGTGGCCATGAATCAGAGAGCATGAGCATGGTGGTCATGCTCCTGACATTCTTGCTATGGCCACTGTGATAGACGGACCCTGAGTATCGTGGCTATGATGCAGACACCTTGGGTATGCGCGTATATGATGCATACATCGTGAATGTGGCGGGTTTGATCAATCTCCGCATGTTAAACTCAGCTGCGTCTTACTCTGGCCCCCTCTCGTCGACGGCTCCTCCACACCGAGAATGCAGATGTTGTGGTCGTTACTTAACATCGCCTCCGATTCACCCCCTCACCTTCCACTCTCTTGTAGATCGTTCATCCCCCCCCCCCCACTCTGACTGAGTCAGTTAGGGGCCATCCATTTAGTACGTACGCATGGAGGGGGGGTTAACCCAAACGCGTACGCTTGCATATGGGGGGGGGGGGGTCTACTGACAATGTACGCATAGGAAACCGGGGGGGGGGGAGGGGTGAAGCCTCGATAATAATTTGTCTACATTGGCCTTCAAATAAGTTAGTCCTGCGGTGGACTATCTGTTTGCATAAACACGTGAATATTATTAATCCTTGATCGTTTTTGCGTGGATTAAATATCGGCCGTTCTATAGGATTCGGGGTGGGGGGGGGGGTGCGTCAGGCGTACGTACGCAGGTCGGGGGGGGGGGGGGGTGTAACAAGTTCGCGTTGCGTACAGGGATATGGGGGGGGGGGGAGTGGTCAAGTTTTGACAGATTTTTGAGTCCCTACTCAATGGATGGGCCCTTAGCGCACCGCCGAGACTTGTACACTCTCACGCCTTGGCTGATGCCGTGTGCGTGTGCACAGGCTTCAACGTCAACCACTTGGACATCGCCCCTCGCTATGCAAGTATCCTCATGGGCATCTCCAACGGCGTGGGGACCCTGTCGGGAATGGTGTGCCCTCTCATCGTGGGCGCCATGACAAAGGGCAAGGTGAGACGTGCCGCCACGGGCTCGCAGCAGGGCCGCCAAGGTGGTGAGATGTCACCTGCGACCTCGCCTGCTATGCAAGGAGGTCGTGGGTTCCATGCTGACCCTGATACCACTGCATATTTGGAGTCTGCACGTTCTCCCCGTTGTCGTGTGGAATTTTCTCCGGGTCTTCCGGATGATTCCTTCCACATTTAGAATCGACGTGCGTTCGGAGTATTTGTGTTGCTATAAATGTCCACGTGATAAGCCCCTTCCTTGGAGCTATCATATGCGATAGCAAGGTCGCTTCCGAGAAAAAAAGAGCTATATAGCTCAATGGGCCTGGTAAAATATTTTTTAAACAATTGCTTATAGTTTTAAGTTCACGTGCACGGAAATAACAAAAAAATGACTCACGTAAATAGAATTCACTAAACGAGGGCACCTCCTGTTGGTGTGTGGCCCTACGGAGAGATTCGTTAGCGGATCGGTGTCGGGAACCGAGACTTCGATTCGGTGCTTCGTGAAAATTTGAAGACAAAGAGGGAGCGGAGGACGCGGGTGAGTCACGCAAGCCGGAATAGCAACCGTGGGAGATGAAAGCGGCAGGCGCTAATTGGCACCGCTCGTTGTTTATTTATTTATTTATATTTTACCTTCAACGAGGGAAACGGTGGTGGGGGATGGGGGGGTGTGTAAGAGCAAATTAACGCTTTTTATTTTTAGCCTGGTGCTGCTCTGCGATGAAGCATCCGAGCGGTTGCGTGTGTTTTAGCTCGTGGACGTGTTTTACCCGAGCGTGATGCGTATGTGTCACTACTGATGACTTATTTGTATTTTCACATTGTCGTTATTATATGCGTGAAAAAATAATGCATTGAGATGTATAAATGTAATCACGATTCATGAAAAATTAGCAAACAAATGGGTGAGTCATTTAATAATAATGGCATACACAGATCAACTCAGACTTGGGTTTAAAAGATGCATCGATTCATAGATTAGAATCGATCAATATCGATGATTATGCCCACGATATATGCATCTATAATGTTGTATGTGATGGGTTCATGCGAAACCTATACGCACTGGAGGCAACGACATTGGCCTCTCTTGGCCATTGCTGCCTTGAATCGTGAGAATTCAATTTGCGAGAGGGGTTAATCGTTGCTCCCATAGCGATTATCATACAGGCTAAGACCCACATGAGAACTCATCCAATTATCCGTGACCCCTTTGATGAACTGGAGCTGTGGGGTATGAGAGCCGTGGGCTACTCTTCCTATTATCCGTGATCATCGACAATGCATTGTAGGAGAGCTTCCTATGAGCTGGAAGAAGATAAATTGCAGATAAGAGGAGATGCTTGTTTTCCACATCACAACGGATAAGAGGGCTTTTACCATAACTCTTCATTAAATTGATCCGTATGAGTACGTGCAATTTAAAAAAGGCTACAAAAGACGAAATGTGCTCTTTATATTTTATTGGTTTATTTTCCTTTCTCACTGCATTTTTTTGTCGAGAAGTGCAAGCGATAAACCACGATGCTTTGACGTCACGGAATCGTGCTGCACGGCGGTGTGCGACATTCACGAGCAGGCGGAAATCTCTCGGCCACAAAACTGCCGTGGGTACAAGATTGCCCTTTGATTTAGTAGCACAGCCCCGGCTGCAAGCATTAGCCGAGCAGTAAATGCTCATTAGGCTGATATACGATACCAGCGTCGATCGATCAGTGTACTGTGGCTGCATCAATCATAGCGCTATACAGTCCAGACTGCGCAGGGTTGTGTGTGCGCGTGCGTGTATGTATGTATGTATGTTGAGCTTCTTTCGCACCGTACGTAGCCAGCCATGCCCATCAGAGGTGCGGTGGGGAAGGACAGCAAACTAAACACAAAAAGCAGTTCTAAAAAAATTAGTTTTCAATGTCGATTTTAAAAGTGTACAGCTCCAGTGGCTTTCTAATATTGGGTGGAAGACATGTTGGCATGATTAGTGACATGCTGTCAGCCAGAGTAGAAAAATGTACATTCCCACTTTGAGCTGCAGAACAGCAGAACTCTACAAATACACAAACACACAAATACATATATATTTGGGACGCAAAAATACAGATTTTTTTTAATTCGGCAATATTTTTCTGTATGTAAATGTTTCCAATCTTTTACTGTGGCACGGGGTTGGTTTGACCACAAATTCTGACACGTACCCGAGTTGGGACCGAGGCCCCAGTCGGCGTGACATTTGTATTGTCTGTGTTTTGCGAGACATGCGGCAGACTGGCTACCTCGTAGCGCATCACTGAGTCTCGAGGCAAAGCTTTCGGGAGGGTCCTGCAATTGGGACATTTGGCCAATTCCATTCATGAGTGTTTGGCTTCGTGTGAGGTGAAACCAGAGCACCTGGAGAAAATTCACAATGCCATCCGTCTTCCGCGCGCATGCCAACATCACCTGGCAAGTCCTAAGTGGTTATCCATCCAAGCACAGTACTGACCACGCTCAATCGCAGATTAGCTTCGAATATCGGATGAAATCTGACTCGATCCTGCACCATGAGGAGGCAAGAACAATGGAGGCATATCAGACGCTGCGATGGAATTGACCTCCTTCGTGGGCTGCATCGACTTGCCGTGGCAGAGCGTTTAGCAAATATACGAGCACCAGTCCCACGCGCGGTCAATATTGTGCCGACGAGATGCGGCTCTGTGTCCCGTGCAGCAATTTAATCACCAGGGCATTCACCGCATGCAAATAACTATTGGGAAATACCTAAAGGAGTCTTGCGACTGTGAGGCTTGTCAGAATAAATAAATAAATAGTCCAGACATTTTTTTTGTTCAACTAGAAGACTATTGTATGCATTCCTTGGATGAGTTTTTTTTTTGTGGCATTCTGTTTTACTTGAAGATTTCAAACGTTTACTAAATAACACTGCATTTTAAAACAATTTCGTCTTTAAACTTTGACAAGCACAGGAATTTATGAAGCATAGAGACTCATAATGGCATAATGAATACGTGCGTCGCGAGTGCCTGGTTAACTAAACAGCACTCGTGAATGGGGCCGGTTAAATTGAGCTCAATTCAGTCGCTCAATTCAGGCTCTTCACCAACGGGGTCAGCTGTAATTTTCGACGGGCAGCAATTTTCCTATTTCCTCCCACCGCCACCACCCCATGGCAATTACCGCCGTTTCATCGGGCACCATCAATTTAAAAAACAAAGCGTTCCGTAGCATTATCCCCCCCCCCCCGGCCACCGCCCCCTCCTCTCTCTCCAATCGTCTCTCCACATCTCCGTCGCGCGCGCTCGCAGACTCGCGAGGAGTGGCAGAACGTCTTCCTCATCGCGGCGCTGGTGCACTACGGCGGCGTCATCTTCTACGGTTTGTTCGCCTCCGGCGAGAAGCAGCCGTGGGCCGACCCCGAGGAGACGAGCGACGAGAAGTGCGGCTTCATCAACGAGGACGAGCTTGGCGGGGACGACTTCGCGGAGGGCGAGGCCGAGACGGCGCTGGGCGAGGGCGGCGGCGCCGCCGGCGCCGGCGGCGGCGGCCTGGCCGGGGCGTCGGGCGGCAAATCGTACGGGGCGACGGCGCAAAGCAAAGGGAGCTGGCCCAACGGCTATCAGAGCAAGGATGCGCCGGGCCAGGGTGGAGACAGGGAAAGCTACGTGTACGCCGATCCCGGCGAGAGGGACTCCTCTTGAGGCGCTCGCCCTCTTTACATTTTCTCTCCTCCTCGTCCTATTCCCCTGCCCACTGCCCCCCCCGCCGCCGCTGACCCACCACGGTCACACCCTCTTCGCTCCATCTTTGTCGCAGTGGCGTTTTTCAGGGCGACGGGTTCAGGTCGCCGAATCGTCCCTACGAGGTACGAGGGGTGACGACCCCCCGCGGTCAATGCGAGGCGACCGAACGCGCCCCACGGCCCCCTACGGCCTCCCCCCACACCCCCCCGCCCCCCCGTGTGATGCTGGCGGCCGGACGTCTCGGCGGTTTGGGGTTCAAACCTCGGCGAGTTGATCGGAAAGCCAAAGTGTAGATGATGAGGCCAGATTGTGCCAATCGTCACCCGAGGAGAATGCATCGGCCTTGGCGATTCACCACGTTGTTGGTCGGCACGTAACAATTCATCCGGATTAATTTCATGGCCCGCGGTCGTGATTTAATTCTAAAGTAAAAAAAAAAACTGCTTGTGGTCACTGCGAGCTGACTGCAATGTTTGTGAATTTCAAAGAATCGATGTGCACGTGCACAATTATGGCGCAGATATCTAAAGCATGAAAATAGATTTTAATTGATGAATCGAGGCATCTTTGCACACCTCACCGTCGGCAAAATATTTGCAAAATCATCGAACAAAAAACACTTGAATTGAACCTTAGGTTTATTTTTCCGACGAATCAAGAATGACAGCTCTCCAATTTGTTTTTCGGTTGTACCGCACGTTCAGAATTCATGTTCGACGTTTCACTCCACACGCTGGCACCCTTTTTCAGGAAGTGAGTGCAGAGGACTCCCAGCACGAGGAGCGAAACGTCGGAGGTCTTGCCGAGCAGCACGCGGCACGACCTGAAAACGCAGCCAACAGCCGTACGATCGCACAACCGCGGATAAACCTGCAGAGAGACTCGATAGATATTAACACTCACCCCACACTACGTTATTCCGGATTAAAGTAAAATCAAATAAAAGAAGCAAATAGATCAAAAGAGCATCGTCGCCGGGCAGTAACGGTTAAGGCTGTCATTCCGTGCTGTAGGGGCTGACAGTATTGAACTCCACTGCTGGACACATCGGTGGTGTGTGTGTGTGCATTTCCATGGACCATCTTGCTTGAAATATTTTTACGGTTAGGATCATTAAAAAAAAGAGAGAGAACAATAACACAGATGTATAAGTGTATATATGAAAATATAAAAACAAAAACGGTAAAAAAAAGATAATATAATTATAGCAACGCTAACTATAGTGAAAATTTAAAGCGTAGTCGCCGGTTCATTTTGTCCGTCGTTATTTCCGCTCGAGTGTGGAAGACATTCCCAAGCAGTGGCCCATGTAAATGTTGGCGAGCGTCTACCGGGCGCGTCCGTCTCAACCCTAACGCCCTGCGCCACCCCTCCCGTGTGTTTCTCCCCATGACGCGACACGCACGGACACGCACGCACGGACACACGCGCACACACACACACATACACACGCGCACGTGCTTGACGGTAAATGTGCTGTCCTGTTGGTACGTGCTCCTTGTCTCCTGCCCGCCTGCCCGCCCGCCCGCCCGCTACCCGCTCTGCCATCTCTCCGTTCATCAACACCTCCTCGTCCCCTTCTGACCAAACCCCCCGGAGCATCATCGTAATAGCACAAAGTCGTTATGCAGCTTGAACAAAACGAAACGGGGGGGGGGGAGGGGGGTGGGGGGAGAAACCGAAGCGAGCAACCGGCCAACCAACAAAGCACATTATGCAGTAAACGTTTCTATCACGATTCGCTGTCCCTCGCTTCTCTGATTGCCAATCGCACACATCTCCTGCCCCCTCCCCCGAACGGTGCGCAGTGGGCGAGTGGTTGGCGAGCCCGTTGCTCCGCCGTTCCCGCGGTGAAAACGGAGCGTGCGATGTTTTCTCTCTCTCTCGTGTTTTCGTGGACAGAACCGATTCCCCCTGCAGGCATTTCGTCACGGGGAAGTATGTATGAGTCTTAAGTTTGGAAGTCTTCCCCCCCCCCCCCCCCTCCCTCCTTTCACTCTCCCCGTATTTCTCCCGACCCAACGTCCACGGCTGTGTTGCAGACGACTTTGGGGGGGGGGGGGGGGTGCTGAATGGGATCTTCATGTACAGCCACTTGCACTTTTGGGAGCTGTACTCAAATGTTGTGTATCACGGTGAATATAAATCATGTGGTGGAAGAGTAATTGTTGAAGAAAAGAAAAAAAAGTCCATTCAAAAACTTATTTTTGTTCCTGTGTGTAAAACTGTATCTTTTGAGTTGTTATTTTGAATCGGCAAATAAAAAAGCACAACAAAAACAACTGCACTACTCCGGTTTTTAATTTTCATACCTGTCAACCCATACGGTTTACCCATAATCTTGTACAGGGAAATTGAGTTTTTAGGTCCGTACGGCGTACAGCCGTTTTAATATGGGCAAAATGTAAATGCTCACCCCGAGCCCTCAATACTCTGATAGTGCGCTGTTTTTGAGTTGTACGCCTTTTGGCGTCTTCTGGTCCAACACCAGTGGAGACTAGGCTCTAAGAAAAGCCGTCTCGGGTGTGGACCAATCAATTTCAAGGACAGTGCCAATATTATTATCAGAGTTGTCTCTTTTGTTTGCATTTTGACTGCTTGTGTTGTGGTTATTGCAAACATGATGCCTTGAATAAAGGTGTCAGTTTTTGTGCCAGTTAAAAGGGTAAAACCTATTCCTATAACATTTAGTCTGTTTGTGTTTCTCCCTTGTGATGGGACTTGTAGAATGAACGGTGAGATTTATAAAGGCACGGGGTGCCCAAGAAGGTCTGAATTGGTCTGTAATCAGGTAGGGCACTGATAAGGGGTTGACAAGTGTGGATTTTTAGTTTGTCACAAGTTTCCTCTGCTGCTTGCATGGGTTCCCGATCAACCTGGAACGTGACGGTGATGAACAGCCACGTCTTGGCAGTTGGCGCTCATTCAACATTATTTTATTTACCCAGCCCAGCATGAGTCTCATTTGCCAGAGTGACTTTGGGGCACGTGTCCGCTGTCGGTAGGGGGCGACGATTAGTGTCTGTAATCTCAATTGAGCAAAGTGCATTGCAATTTAAACACGTGGCAAATTTGGGCCATGGTACTGGCACACGATGGCCTGCTCTTGCGAATGACGTCGGGGGTATCTTTAAATAGACACTGTCAAGTGCAGGGGGCTATTACACACCGTGGTATTGACCGGCGCAGCCCGCTGGATAAGAACCGTGAACCTCTGCAACGAGTGGCGAACGCTCTACGGCAGCTGGGCCGCCTCACCGCGTATGACCAAATCACCCAACATGGCCTCCGGCATGGGCAGACATCACAAGCTGAGCAGGGCTCACCAGAGTGGTCGCTAAGGTGCAAAAAATAGTTGACAGAAATTATGAATGATATTATTTAGATAGGTGTACTTCGGGGTGTTGCTATGTTTTGCATGTGTGTGGTTGTGGGGTGGCCAGGGAGTGAATGTTACTCTCTTGTACGCACGGGATTTCTCCAGGTTATCTGTAGGTTGTCCCGCTTTCCTCCCACATTCAGCCAGACACCTTGTAAACTAAAATACTACAACGAGCTACTTTAGTTTCAACGCGTAGGCTGTCACCACCAATATTATCCATTCGAGGATTTTTTTTTAATAGATCACGTAAATATGAATGTGTCATTAAATCTGCCACCACCCGACACAGCCAATTAGTAAGGTTTGTCACGTAAACAAAACATGCCAATTAGTTACTAGTTCAGCACACCAGCGTGTTGGAGAGTAAACCCACAACATTTACAATTTAAGTACGACGTTTCGCTAGTAATTACAACCAGCTTCATCGGGTTGTGGTGGCTGGTTTAACGACACATTTATACTTACACGATCTAATCCAAAAAAAACTCTTGCATGGAATGTTTTATTTTATTTTACGAGGTAAGGCCGACTGGGCTATATAGATTTTTTCGGAAGCGACCTGGCCATACATGATAGCTCAACGAAGTGGCTTACCGTCGTGTGAAAATGTATAGCAGCCAAATACTCTAAATGCATGTTTCCAATTGTGTAGGGATAAACCAGAGAACCCGGAGAAAAATCCACGCGACCACGGGAATAACATGAAAACTCCAAATATACACGCGTCAGGGTCCGGATCAAACCTACAACCTCCTGCATACCAGGCGAGGGAGTTAACACCTCGCCACCTTGTTGACTAAGGGCACCGCATTTCGTGGGTGTCTCTGAGCGATATCTAAAACAAATGTTGGAGGTATCCGGACACCCACTGTATCCACAGTGGCTGTGCTGTTGCCTTGAGTTCAGTTCACCTTGGCTGATATAATTAATCTTGATTTGAAGCTTTCGTGACTGCAGGAATCCAGTCTCTTTGGTTCTTTCGGTAAAGTCACGTATGTATAAAATATATATATACCTACGTGACTTTACAGAAATAACCAAAGAGTATGATATAATTAATATTTTTTGGTTTCCCTACACGGAGGCTTTTTTTGTTCCAAAATTGATCGAGTTTGCTGATGTGGCTGAACATCTTGAGCCCACGTGTTCAATTAGCACATCAGCAAAGTAGGCTACCCCAAGCACATTACTGGTGTGACTGCAATTATTGCAACTCTAGGTTAGATGTTAAACAGGAATAACTGGTTACCCGTTATCAGAAACGTCGAACAGGGGACGCTCTGCTACTTCTCTGGCACATTCGGTGGATATAACCCAAACAAAGAACATCTGTTTTCACACCCAATTACCACAATAATTTATGTTTTCATGAATAGCTTCAGTAAAAGCTTTCAAACCCTCGTGCAGCATGATACAAAGTATTATGACTAAATAACGGTGACATTATGAACGAAATTCACGACACAGAACCAAAGTTTATCCTTTGAAATCGCAGTGTAAAAACGGCAAACGGTCAGCGACAAACAGTACCACTGAAGGTGTAATAGATACAGACGTCATAGAAGAGTCAATACGTGTCGGCTTAATAAAAAAAATGTAGAGTACATATATGTTCAATCAATGAAGATCGGAGCGCAGAGCTCAAAGCAACGGGGTGCAGAGCATCTAGGTGATGAGATTAAAACAGAACAGAAAGCACAGCAGATGCGGAGATCCATCCCAACGCGACGTGCAGGGGTCCCGCGTACGTTTTAAACACCAGCCCACCAGGCAGCCCCTGAGTTGGCTCTCTCTCTCCTTGTCTTATAGCTGTTCGTGCACCAGCCATACGTAACGCATCTTCTCTGCTGGAGTTCCTGGTGTCTGGAACTCGCTTCTCCACTCCCAGCCATCTGTGCTGTTGACTCCCTGCGCCAGGTCAAGTCTAGGCTCAGGACGTTGCTCTTTGCCTCTGCCTATGACTGGCTGTCTTCTCTCTGCAATGGCACACCACCTTCCGAATGTGTACCAGTGCTGGGATGGATGTCAACTGTGCAATAATGGTGCTTATAGACTGCAGGACTGCGTGGTGGGCAATCCAAGTTGGTGCATCATAATTCATCATTGTACTATACTTCTATGGCTCCTATATCTATGTTCCCCGCATTCCCCTACCAGCACTGACTAGCGTGGTGAAGTATGGTCAAATAACATGCAATATATTTGTATGGCATGGGGAGGCTCTCATCCAGCAATGGATTGACAAAAGGGCTGTACACGTACAATTGTGATTGGGCGTGGATGGAGCGGTGGCAGAGTGGTTAGCGGCCCACTGCACTCCCAACCTGCCAGCCACAGTTAGATTCCCCAGCCATGGCTAACATCAGAGGGGAGCGACATCCGAACCGGTTCTAGGCTCCTTCCTTCACCAACCCGCATCGACACAGTGCGGTGAAGTATGTTGAAACGTCCCCACTACGGTGCTGCTACGGTGTGGGGAGGCTTTAACCCAGCAGTGGATTGACAAGGGGCTGTATAAAGGTTACCAGATGAGCTCGAGCAGGCTTACGCTTAATAAAGGGTTAGCTTCAACCCGTCTAGATGGTGCGTTGCAACTACCCTGACACTTGCGTATTTATAGCAAGGATTGGTTTTCACTCTTCCTCAATGTCACATTGAGGAAGAGTTTAATAGGTTTTGGGTTTAATTCACTCCCCAAAAATGCCACATATAGCCTCAACAGACTGTTCGGGCAAGTGCTGTTAGCGAGCACCTATTAAGGCCGGCTACGGCGCATGAGAGGGTTGGTGGCACACGAGGGGGTTGGCAGCACCACGCCCGGCCGCCTTTGTCTCCCCAGTGGCGATGTTTACACCGAGCACCAGGTACTCATTTGAGGCTGAGTCGACCTAGGGGAGGCCCAGGACCGGTTCAGATAATCGTCACTGGTGTTGGCCGTGAGCGGGAATCGAACCCGGGTCGCCCGGATCATAGTGCAGCGCGTTAACCGCTACACTATCGCTCCCCACTCACGCACACACACGCACCTGCATTAACAGCAACCACAACGAAACCCATTCGCCGACAGCCCTGCTCTCAAGTGGAACGATTATGCAACGATGGCCCTTTCTCATCGCAATATCGTCGTGATGAAGACTCATCAACGAGTCACTCTTTATTGTACAATAAAGTGGGCATCGGTGACTCACCACGAGGGAGCGGGAGCGGTGCAAGGGGGGGGGGGGGGGGGGTCACGGAGCAACGGGAATGGAAACAGACACCCGTTACGCCCTCAGCGGCGAACACCGACGTTCTTACGCAACAAATCGCACGGGAAAGTTGTGGTAAATAACAATGAATAAATAACGATACGTTTAAACGGACAGTTTTTATTTATTTTACGGGAAGGTGAGTCTGAATGGCCATTGAACCAAAACCGCAAGCTGTTCTGGAATATTCTACCTTAAGGGCGGTGTTATTTTAGGGACGTTTTTAATGATTGGCTATTGCTATTTTTTTAGGGGGGGGGGTTATTATTTACTTATTTATTGGTGTTTGTGCGCCACTGCCACGAACGCGGCGTCAAACATTTGTTTTAGTGTCGCATTGAAGAAGCTCACAGAAGAGCTCACGAACTCTGGGTTAAAGTTCACTCCGAAATTCAGGAATACATTGAAGACATGTTATGAATACATTAAAGACATGTTATGAATACATTAAAGACAGGTTATGGATACATTAAAGACATGTCATGCTCAGAGGGCATACGAGCAACTCAAAGGAAGTGGGTTAAACACGTGGGCTTTCGCGACCAATATCATCCATAATATAGGTTATTTGGGTTAGATGGCGTAAATATATAAATGTGTCGTTAAACCCGCCACCACCCGACACAGCCAATGAGTAAGGTTTGTCACGTAA